GAGAAATTCTACTCATAATATATTCAGTCATCTCCTCAACAATGAATTGCATTAACTTATTTTTGTCCCACTGATCATTTGCAATACAACTTTTTACCTCGATCTCATCTTCCCCACTTCTGTCTTCCTCCACATAATACAAAGAACCTTGCTTTGTCCAGTTGTCATACAAAAAGCTAGCATATCGTGACTTTATTTTCCACCAAATATTGTGCTCCACCTCTTCTCTAACTTTGATCATTTTCCTCCAAACATAAGGGGCCCATTTGCCTTGTGCCATAATGGGACGCCATTTCTTGCAGTACTTATTCCACATGAATTCACTCCACAATGGTTTGTAGTTATTGTTAATACCCACCACAGTTTAGCAAACAAAGCATCTGATATATCATGTAATAATCTAAAACCCACACCACCCTTTGATTTTGGTAAACACGGTGTTTCCCACACAACCCAATGCTTACCCTTAACTCCTATTATGTGTCCCCAAAATTTTTTTGCAAGAATCTTATGAACTTGATCTATTACCCCTTTTGGTGGATTCATGACCGACTTAAGATATACAGGCATTAATTGTAAAACATGCGAAATTAGAACATACTTTCCACCATATGTTAATAGCATGTTCCGCCATCCCAGCACCTTTTTTGCTACCTTTCTAAATAGCTCTTCAAAATGATCTTTTGTCTTCCTCCCATAAAATATCGAATATCTCAAGTAAGTGAAATGGAAAGTACCTTGTGCTATTCTTTTAATCTTGTGAAAAACTGCAGTAGGAACTTTTTAATGCAAGTATATATAACTTTTTGATAAATTGATAAGCAGCTGACACAAACTCATATCTCCTTAAAACCTTTATCATTTTCCTTATGGAACCTTATGTCCAGAGAAAAATAGTATTGTATCATTTGCATATGATAGATGATTAATGTTTTTGCTCCATTTGGAAATTCCAAACCCTCTAAAACCCAAATCCTCATTCAGCTTATTGAGACCCCTAGTCAAGAACTCTCCCGCTATGATAAAGAGAGTAAGTGACAGTGGATCTCCCTGTTTCAGCCCCCTTGATGATTCAAAGAAACCAAAAGACTATCCATTGACTAGTATAGAGTACCAATTATTAGAAATTAGTCTCCACGCCATATCAATGATACTTTCATCAAAACCAAAACTTCTCATCACTTTAGTCAAAAAGATCCATGAAACTCTATCATATGCCTTTGTCAAATCAAATTTTACCACCACATTGTGATTTGGACTTTACTTTTTAATGTCTTTAATAATAAGCTGGGCTAGCAAAACATTTTCAGTTATGCTCCTATATTTCATGAATCGTGATTGGTTATTTGAGATTATGAAAGGCAGTATCTGTCAAATCCGTCCATGCAGTACATTTGATAGAATCTTATTTGCAAAGGAACTATGACTAATTGGCCTTAAATCTTAGAATCTAGTTACCTTCTCTTTTTAGGTATAAGCACCACATTAGTGTAAGAGATGTATTTAGGAATTTCATCTTCACAGAAAAGTCCATCACCATCCTCTACATGTCCTCTTCAATAATCTCCCAACATGATTGGAAAAAAGCTCCTGAGAAACCGTCTGGGCCACTTGCACTATCCTTGTTTAAGCTAAAACTGCATTTTTAACTTCCTTCTTTGTTGGAGCCCTTGTCATGTCTTCATTCTTCTCATTGGTTATTAATCTAGGAATAACATTAAGCATAGATTAGTCCTCAGTCCTGAACCCTTCCTTGAACTGTTCCTTGAAGACATTAACCACTTCATCTCCAATGTTCTGAGTAGTCTATATTATAGCTCGTCGTTCTATCTAAATTTTCCCTTGAGATATGAATGAAAAAAACTTTTTGTTTGTATTTCCTTCTTTGAACCATTGCATCCCCGCCTTCTGTTTCTAATACTCTTCTTCTATCTGGTGGTATCTCTTGACTACTTCTTCAATCCTTGCTAAATATTTCTTGTTGGCTTCTGATGGGTTCACTTCCACCTGAGTTTCCTTTACCTTAACAATATCCTCCATTGTAGCAATTCTCATAAAAATATTTCCATACGGTTCCCTACTCCATCTTGATGAAACCCTTTTCACATTTTTCATCTTTTGATGAAATACATAGAACAAGCTTCCATCTATATTTACTTCCTAATGTTGTGTTATAAGACCCTTAAATTTTTTACAATTTGTCCAAAAACTAAGAACCTAAACGACTTCACTATCACCTCTTCCTGGTCACTTTTACAGATCACATGTAATGGAGCATGATCTGACCCTTGCCTTATCAAATGGTGTACATCACTAGATGGGAAAGCTTGCATGAATTCCTGAGTACCCTATCCAATCTTTTGAAAATACTCTCCCCCTTTATTCTCCTATTCCACCATGTATAAAGACTACCTGTGAATTTGATCTCTGTCATATTACAAGAACTTATACATTGAGCAAAATTCGGTGTCTCATGATGAGTTACTGATAGTCGTCCCCAATTCTCCGTTTCATTGAGTGTCACGCTAAAGTCTCCACCAATAACCCATGAAAAACTCATATCTTCTATCATAACTTCGAGATCCTCCCATATTTCTAACCTCTCCTATGAGCTACATCTCGCATAAACTGCAGAAATAATGATTTCCTTTTGACAACCCAACCATTATTTTTGCATTTGAATCACTTTTGGAGTTATCACTATCTCGTTGCTGATCATTCTTCCGGATGTAGACTTTGTTTTTGTTATTTTCTTTTGCAGAAACCCCTATTTTTTCCACCCTATCAATTTCCTTACTTTTTGATTGTTGTTGCTTCCCAACAACCTCTTCCACCATTTTCTTTGAAGTTTCTTCTGCATCTCTTCTTCACCATTGCCCTTCTTCGGGGTGATTTGCACATCCTCCGCTTCTTTAGTGTCTTCTAGTGCACTAAACTTGTTCTCATTGATGATTTGCTTACCTTCCTTCTAATTTTCTTTTTGACTCCATCTCTGAGTAAATCCTTCTATGTTATTGTATCTACCTCTTCCTCCACCACCACCATCCCCCCCCCCCTTACTCTTTTGTTCCTGGAATGCATGAACATTTTCCTTACCTTTATCCTTTGCCTCCTTTTGCTTTGTTTGATCCTGATTCTTCTCTTCGTTTTCTTTCTGCCCTCTCTACTCACCATCAGCCTCTTCTTTCGGATACAACTCTGGGTGTAACACATAGCACTCTTTCTCATTGTGTCCTTGTAACTTGCAATTTTTGCAATATTTGGGCATGTAATCACATTTGATTTGTATTCATTTTTCTTTGTTTTCTCCGGTGTTCTTGTTTCTCACCCCTATATTTAAACTCTTTGGAAATTCTCCCAACAAATTCACTTCAACCTTCACTATTGGACAATTAGGTCTTGTTTTATTCCATGTTGTCATATCCACCTGCAAAGGCTTCCCTACTGCTGCCGCCAAAGAGAAAAACTATTTCCTTACCAAAGAATTTTGATGGTAAAAATGGAAAAGATATCCATGCTATAGTTGTCGTTGTTTCTTCCTCCAGATCAAATAGCAAATCCCATTTGAGTGTGTGCATTGGGTAATAACAACTCCTATGTCCAATATAATAAATAGGCTTTGATAGCAAATGAACATAATCCTCCATACTTGATGCTCTGATCAAAACATATTTATAACTCAGATATCCTATTGTGCATTCATATCTATAAATCTTCATTACAACCCTCTTGCTAAGTTTTCTGAAACAGGCTGAGCAACCCCCATCGGAGGCTTCCGAGTGGCGGCCATTAGTGGCGAAGATGACAAGGTTTTTTAGGATTTTAGTTTTTAGGTTTAGAGAGTAGTGCGACCTTCGTTTTGCCAAATCGTGATTGAAGAGTAGCTTGTGGTTGGTTTTACAGAAATGTATTTTATGAGAGATTACTTGTGACTTTTTCCCCCTGAATTGAAGAAATAACGTAAATGAGTTGAACTGAACTAGTAATGAATCATCTTCTTCTGTGTGATCTGGATTACATTACCAGAATATATTAATTGTTGGCAATGTTAGTCATGTGCTAGATGCATCCACTGAATGTTGTGCATTGAATGAGGCAATTGTGTGTTTTTATTTTTTACCTTGACATTATGGATTTAGACTCACAAAATTATGACAATATACTCTTAAAAGTGCTATTGTGATGACCACTCTAAAAAGGCAATGATTTTACAAGTGCAAGTGTTTACAAAATTTTCTCTCTGAACATGCCAAAACACAAGGGTAAATTTCAAATTGTGGATTAACCTATCACAACACTGGATACACTTACCACTAATTCAGTTAAGTTGTCCTGGTTGTAATAGTTGAGAAGATCAATACAGTTTTCAATCGGAGTGAAGTTTAATAACGAAACTACTCTACTCTGTTGCCCTAGTGATCCCTGAAATGCATACAAAAGACACTTACTCTAGTCTCTAGGGATGGACTAATGCACATACAAACAGAATCTCAGCTCGCATATCAACAATTGCAATTCACTCACATTTAACAAGGTCCCTTCAATATGTCCCTATGATCTTGACATATAAAACTCATATATAAGTTTTGAATGTCCACAAACAAAGAACAGAATTTCATACAACAAGCCAAACTTTTCCAACTTCATTCTGATACTGAAATCCAACCTCAACGAAGAAAGTCATTAGATCTAGCAATTTAACTTGACAAGTAGGAAGTCATTACCATTTCTCGTATAGCATGTAAACAAGATCAATAATGCCTGAACCATAGCACATTGCTATAGCTTAAAAGTTGATAAATCAGAAACGAGACCAAGAGCTTTCTCTTGATTCTTGTCGTTCAGAGGACATTTGACATAAACCCTTTCATCAGCTTAAAGGATTTGAGAGTTGAGTTGATCAAAAAGTGTACATATTTAAAGCTCTATACAAACAGAAGAGAGTCGTTGGCTTCTAGTCTAACAAAAGTAAAATGATCCTCTATATAATACAGGCAGGCAAGCAAGACAGGATGCAGTGTTTGCAATACTATAATTTAGCAAGTACCACGCTATGTACACAAGCAAAACGCCAAAGGAAATCCATGCATCATAGAGCACAAACTCAATATGATGAAATTTAATCCTCATGCATATGAGCATTGGAGTTTGCATTTGATGCAGAAGACGTCATTGATGATGAATTTCCATTACTACCTGAGTTTGGGGATGAAAACAAGCCACTCAAAGGCCACGGAAGTGACACTGGAAACGGGCGACCGTTTTCATTACTAGTATCCTCATCTTCATACCTTCTACCATTACCATTACTACTCTGAGCATTTGTGTTACTACCACTTCCATCATTGGTTCCAGCAGACTCAACTTTTGATTCATCAGAGGGCAACTGGTGCCTACAGACGGGACATGTGCTATGAAGCTCCAGCCATGGTAAGATGCAGTCACCATGAAACCTGTGCTTACAAGGCATCTCTTTGGCTTCAGTCCCAATCTCAAAGTCTTCCAAACAGACAGAACACTGCAATGTCTCATCAATTGTCACCACAGGCAATGCCTGTACAACCTCTTTTTGAGCTGGTGGAGTACCATACCTATTTGGATCATTCTCTGCCAAATGTTGCAGCAACACGTCTAAACCAGGACCAATGAAATAATCACCCAATGAGCCAATAGGTTGGTTCCTGGAATTATTATCTGAACCCTGCACAATGATGGTTTGATTGAATGGATTTATAAGTATAACACGCTCAAGATCCCTACTCTCTCTACCTGTCTCCCTGTTTTCATTCTCAGGGTTAGGGTTCTCCGACTCAGCCAACATTCCAGCTCGAATACCTTGCAAGAGCTGGAGAATTGTGGCAGAGTTCCTCCTGCGCCTATTTATTATAGATGCCAAGTCTGGATCAAGTTGTGTATCGGCTTCACGTGTATGATCATCATCGTCATCATCTTCAAATTCGAGATGCCTAAGTCTAGAACGACGACGAGGGTTGGTCATCATGCCTAACAAGATAGGTGCCCAAAGTGAGAGGGCACGATCAGAATCAGAATCAGAATCAGAATCTAAAGGCGTCTCAGTAGTGTCTGATCCCATTTCTTCAATAAATCCTAGTTGACAAATGGGACATTTTAACTCAACCTCCATCATGGGGTTCACCCTCCTTGAACAATGATGACACCAATATCTTGACGCTCCTCTTCCGTCCATTGAATCTGTCAAATAAACAACATCATAATATGTGTATCTACAAAAGATACTTCATTCCAAAAGAGAAAAATGGAAGTTAGATATAAAGAATAAGGTCTTCTTTCTCTATCAAACAAACAACATCCAAGCATCAACAAGATCTTAGCAACAAATATTCTATCTATATATCAAACAAACAATAACCTAGCATCAACAAAAACAAAAATCATAAATATTTGAGTCCTTCACTGCAAAAATACAAAAAAAAAAAAAAAAAAAAAACCAACAAGAAAAATGGAAAAAAAAACGAAAAAGGTAGAGAAAACCGCAGACAAGTTGATGCAAACTTAACCTACCTTGTTTGAAAGGTGTACGGAGATTTAGCAAAATTGCACAGCTGAAAACAAGGAAAAAACAAACAAATTCTGCAGATCCGGCGATATAAATGCATAAATTAAAAGGTAGAAAATAATTTATATACCTAATAAATAATTAACACAAAGGTAGGTAAATAGAAGGGTGTAGAAGGTTGAAGAAGCAAATAGAAGCTTAACAAAGTAAAAAGAAAATTAAATTTTCTTTATACCATTCAAGAACAAACTTATTCCATGTCCAGCACCAAATGATGAGTATTACAAGAAATAAACATTAAAATATAAAATCAAAGAAATGCATAAAAGTCAACAAGATAACCCTAAAAACGTGTACACGTTAACATACACATAAAATATAGACAAAATACCTCAATAAAAAAAAAACACTTCAAGAGGTTTTCTTCTTTCTCTGCCCCTTTTGTTGTTTGTTTGTGAACTTCTTATCTGATCAGTTTAACGCGCTTTTGAATATGTAAGGAAGGATCTTTTCTCTTTCTCTTTTTTGCAAATATTTTTATCTGCTTCCGAATCTTTCTTATGTGGGGCCTACATCAATCAACCAACCCCACTTGTCTTGTCATTTATGGATTTCAAAAATTAACCCTTTAATTACTTCTTTTTAACTTTAATAAATTTTACTCGCACCATTCAAAAAAGTAATGATTCTAACTTCAACAAGTAAGGCATCTAATTTGGATGACAATCATTTCTTTCCATCCCAAAATGAATATATATAACAACAATTAATTTTCCTTCTAATCATCAACCTCATGCATCTTTACTTTATTTTTATCTATTTCATAACTTGTTTTAATTAGGTTTATTTGATTGGTCTACATAACTAATGTAGTATCTTGTATGAATCTATCACCCGTCAAGAGACTAGGTCCTTGACAACAACTAATAAGAGACAAGCTAAAGACTACTAACAACTAGGAGTAGGCATGGTATGGTATATACCGAATTATCATATCATATCGAAATTTTTAATATTGTGATTTTGGTATTATGGTATTTGGTACGGTATATGGTATATATTCTATTTTTTTTGTTATTTGGTATGGTATTTGATATTTAGAAACAATATACCGAAATACTGAATAGCATACCGAAATATATAGTTACATAAATAACATATATATATTATTAAAATACTATCAAATATGCAATCTAGTATTAGTATATACTCAATGCTTAGAAGTTGAAACTTTGACTACTATATTTTGATTGAAATGTATTTGAAATTTAATTGTAATTGATTAACTAAAGGAGTTGTTTGTATTTTATTTTGAAATATATATTTCTACATATATGAAACAATTGAGATTTTTTTTTAATTATCAAAGTGATAATACTCTATTATACGAGTATATATTAGTCGAAACTGAACAAACTATGATTACTGATTTACCATATCGTAGAATACCAAAACCAAACTTCAAAATATCGAACCATACTGTAGTCACTTAAAATTTATTAAATATAAATTTATAAAGGGATTCGGATTATATTAAATTCATGAATATATTAGTTCAAATAAATATTGTGGATTAATATAATTGAGTTAATTATTTAAATCTAATAAATATAGATTTATTTAAAACCCGCTCCATAAAGCCCATATGACATGTCACTTAAATCTGATTGGCCAAAGGGAATCATATTCCTATCACAACTCCTCTATTTTAAAACTATAAATAGGGGTCTTCATAATTCAGAAAAAGAACCAAGAATTCTAAACAAGAAGCTAGAGAAAGTTCGTGGATCAAAAGCCACAAATTTCTCTACAAGTTTAAGAATTCAAGTGTTCAAGTTTAAGAATTGAAGAATTCAAGCATTCAAGATCAAGATAAAGTTCAAGTTCAAGAACGATCAAGATCAAGACCGTCGGATTCAAGATCAAGCTCGAAGCCCTTGGATTCAACTAGAAATCAAGATCAAGATAAAGTTCAAGTTCAAGAACGATCAAGATCAAGACTGCCGGATTCAAGATGAGGCTCGAAGCCCTTGAATTCAACTAGAAAGTCAAGATTAAGATAAAGTTCAAGTCAAGATCAAATTCGAGATCAAGATAAAGTTAAAAGTCTAAGTTCATCAAAGATTCAAGAACAAGCTCAAGATCCCTTGAATTTATATTCGAAAAGGTGAATTCAGAGGAATATTAGAGATTGTAACACTCGCACTTTGAAATAATAAAACGATTGTTGCGATAATTTTTCGTTCTTGATTATTATTTTCTTGACGCGAATTTTATTGTCTACACATACCGAATTAAATTGGTATGATAATGGTATAATGTTTTAAAAATCAAATACCAAAATTACGGTATCAAAACTTTGAAATACCGTACCATATCATGTCCACCCTACAAAAAAACATGTAACACACGATGTTTATATGGAAAACTTTTTTGCTTCAAGAAGGAAAAAATATGATCTACCTTTGTAGAATTTTACCAAACTGCTTCACTAAACACGAGCAAAGATTAGATTTGCAAGGGCTTGCCGGGCCTGAATACATTGTCTACAACTTCTCTTAGTTTGAAATGATAGGGGATCGGCTTCCTCATTTTTTCTTTCTCAAAATTGTTTTTGACATAATCCTTATAATATCTTGTTTGTGAAAAGGACAATTCTTGATAAAGTGTCTAGGTTTTCCACACTTGTGGTAGAAGTCTTTTTTTTAATGTTTACTTGAGTTTTCTTTCATAGGAAAACTTTTATTTCTTCTAACCATCCTTTGAAAACGTCTCGTGATGTAGGCCATCTCAGCATCATCTTCATTGGAGTCATTTTTTCGCAGCTTTGAGAGACGAATTTTTCTCCTTCTTTGGTACTTTCCTTTCTTAATCTATTGTTTCTTGAGCTCATAGGTCTTTGTCACAATCCAAAAAAGGGATGTGATGGCACTCGTCTTATCCCACCAAAACAAGTCAGCTTAAAACTCAACCATTACGATAAAGTGCAGATATAAGCTATAATTGAAAGTTTAATAACATGTAATAATACGGATAACAAGTCAACTAAACTAAATCTCCAAGACCTGGTTGTCACGTGCACAAGCCTCTAATGTATTATTACAATGAAATTTAAAGAAAACACAAGTCTCAAATGATGTTGTCACTAAAGTAGAACAAGATCGTAAATAGGAGTAAGAAGGTCCGTTGAGATGACAAACAGATACCTCACAAATCTCCATAGGAAGCCTCAGAAAAGAAGAGAATAAAAAATATAACGAAGATTCGGGCACGTAACCTACAAAAATGTAGAAGCAAGGGGTGAGTACCAAACCACACAGTACTCAACAAGTAACTTCTAAACACGAGCTAAGAGAATATAATACGGATAATCCTTACCCCCCTCCCCCCCCCCAACTGAACCTCCACAACTACAACCTGAATAAAATCAGTCCAACCTAATAGTTCACAATTTACATAGCACATATTTCAGCCACCTCACTTCAACAATTACAGATCAACAA